AGTAAATTACTATTATCCTTTGCTGCAGATAACCAAATGATATATTTCCCTTTTCGTTGTACAGTAATTGAAATAAAATGTCTAAAGTATTGAATTTTTAAGTGAATAACAACTTAAATAGTAAAACACTAAGTCTTGTGTTTCAGAGAAATAAGGCTGAATTGAGCCACAATAAATGGTAGAAATTGGTATCAATGTGTTTAGAACTTTTTATTTCTAGGTAGACTTGTATGTCCTTGTTGTGGCCTCATCTACACTTGGTGCACTGTGAGCAACACACATTACTTGATGCTTTCAAATTGAAAACAGAGAATGATTATTGATAGAGCATAGAAGAAGATCAGTTGAAACTTACTATACAATCCGTTATAAAACTAGTTCCGTATGTCATAACTACGAGTATCTGAAACTTCTTTCGTTTCGTTTCATCGATGATAAAATCAAAGAAGAAATAAATTCCTTGATAAATTTCAAGAGTCAACTTTCATACTGATTCAACTAGAGATTTGCTTGCGTTTGTCATCCAGTCTGATTTCTCCTACTTCTCTTGTGTTATGCCTTAATCATTTCAGTCAGTTGTACAAGATATAGAATTTTCATACTTAAAACATATAAACGCAGAATGTGATATAAAAAGGGAATTTATTAATGATAATTAATGTCATCCTGATACAACTTGAATTCAACATGCCCTATTCATCAGAACGAGTAGACAGCCGTCTTTTGACATAGAAAACTCATTTCCCCATTTTTGGCAGTATTCTAAACTGGATCAGAAGAAGTTCCTCATTGCTTTAGGGTTTTCTCATTAGATCTTAATAAACACCCACTAAGCATACAGGACTTACGTACAGTGTAGACAGAGGAGTATACTCATCATTTGAAGAGAACACAATTTTCCCTTTTACAAGCATATCATTATTAAACTCGTGTCAAGTTTTAATTTGATACACATTTTCGCTTCGATATGTGCACTAATGGAATACCTTATATATCGTAAACAATCCCTTGAGGTGTCGCAAAAATGATAAAAGACTTAATGTTATGAAACAATGGGCAAACAAGTCATACATTTAGAGAGAGGATGGAGTAAGCCTTTGTGTGCTTCTCTCAAAAAGCGCCACGTATACAAGAAATCCAGTTGAGGAAAACTGGTCAGCCCAAACAACCCTTTTATCAGGTGGAACATTTCGATTATTTGCCAACATCACAGAGCTGCTTAAAAGATTGAACGATTGATTGTAATTGTTTAAGGCCGAGTCGTCAATATTTCTGCCAATACCGCAGAAATATGTAAAAGTACTGATATTATAAGTGAGCAAGAACTTTAATATTAAAAATTTAAAATACTTGTGAGTTCAGAGAAATAAGACCGAATGAGCCTTAATATGTAATAGGAAATAATACCAATGGATTTAGATCTTTATATTTCTATGTAAACTTGTATATCTTTTTTGCGTCCTTAGGCCATCATTAAAAAGTTTTTTGTTTGATGTACTCCGACTCACATTTTACATGGTGGGTAGGTAGGAAGGTTTTTTTTTGTTTTTTTGTTTGTTTTTTTTAAATTTCTTACAAATTTATGATCGTCATAAAAATCACAGACTTAAAAATTTATTGATGGTTGCATTATACACAGGACAACTAAGACTAAATATTTATTGCTATAAAACATGCAATGTAAAGCGTCATAGAAAAATGATAAACCTTAACTTTTAAAATGATATTCATTAATTTTCTCAAAAAATAAATTTAAATCTAAAGTACTGAAAAAAGTGAATGGGTATGGGTGATATTGACAGATCGGTCAGAGTACATCAAACAAATCATTTTTTTATTGTTGACCTTATCTAGACTTGGTGAACTGTGAGTTAGGGACCAGGCGAAATTTATCACAATGATGGGACCGGTACAAAACAAAATTCTCATTAAAAAAAATATGTCCCATGGCATTCGTATTAAAAAATTATATGTCCCATGCCTTACTGTCCCATGGTTTCATCTTGATATTAGTGAGATTATTGGAACAAAAATAACAAAAAGTACAATGTTAACAATTAGGAGTCTTTCAGCTTATAGATATTTCAAACATCGATGAAAGTTTTTTGTTTGTTCATATTCATAACTCTTATTAACATTGTTTGTAACTTTCTTATTTTTTCCATTAATTTGAAGAATTATGTTGCTATTTGTATCCTTCGTTTGACTTTAAAAGATATGACTTTTTAAAAGATTTTTTTTTGGAAAAAATAATAATTCTATATATAATGAATGTGTCTCATGAGTTAGGTAACTCATTAAAAAAAAAACTGTGTCCCATGGGTACTTAACGCTAAAAATGTTTTTGTCCCATGGTTTCCCCATCATTGTGATAAATTTTTCTTTGTCCTTTACACACATTACATGATGCTTTAAAACTGAAAATACCGTAGAGCGCTCGCTCCGTGATCGGAAGGTCGTGAGTTCGAATTTCGGCCGCGACTGACCTAAGTCGATAAAAAATGGGTAGCAACTGTTCCTTTGCCATGCGCTCGGCACTTTGAAGTGAAAGTTGCGGGTTCTTCGGATGAGACCTTAAAAACAGAGGCCCCGTGTCACGGCAGCCGTTGGCACGATAAAGATCCCTCAGTGTTCAATGACCCTGAATGCCGATTAAAGGTCAAAATTTGAAGCCCTTCACCGGTATATGGTGACGTCTCTATATGAGCGAAAAATCCTCGAATGGCACGTAAAACAACATACATACAACCAATCAATCATATTGAAAACAGAAATTGAATTATTGATAATCCATAGAAGATGATTGTGTTGAAACTTACTATATATTCCATTATAAAAGTAATTATATATGATACAACTATCAAAAACCATTTTATTTTCATTTCGCCAATGATAAAATTAAAAAAAATCCTTGATATTTTAAGAATTACATGGAATTTTTGTATTATTTCAAATGGAGCCTCTGTCTGCATTTTTTATCCCTTCTATTTTCTCCTATCTGTATCTAAACCATTTCTGTCAGTTGCACAAGATACAGAATTTTCATATTAAAATAAAAGCAGAGTGTGATATAAAAAGGGAATTTATTAATATTGTCACCCTCATAGAAGTTAAATTTGACATGAACTATTCATTTAGAACAAGTAGACAACCGTCCTTTGAAATACAAATGCAGAACTCATTTCCTTTTTTTGGCAGCTAATATTATAAACTAAATCAGACGTCCTTTCTTGTTTTTAAGGGGTTTGTCATAAGATCTAGATAAACATCCACTAGGAGTAAATGCTGCAGCACTTATGTACAGTGTAGACAGATAGTATTAAGGAAGTATGCTAATCATTTGAGGACAACACACACTTAATTCTCCCTCTTACAACCATATCATTATTAAACTCGTCATTTATTATATTCTATTTGATATCACATTATGTGCATACACTTGTACAGTGGAATATATTACTGGTATACTGTAAACGACCTTCATTTCTAGCAATTCTATGATGTTGGCAAAAGTCGAAATGCTCCACCAGATAAAGAGGGTTATTTTGACTGACTAGTTTTCCTCATCATTTATTTCTTATATACGTAGCGCTTTATGAGAGAAGCACTCCATCCTCCCTCTCTTAACGTATGACTTGTTTGCATATATATTGTTTCGTTACTTTGAGTTTGTTTTTATTATTTTTGTCACGACAAGTAATTATCAGCTCTTCCTTTCTACAATTTCCCCCAAAAGTGAGAACCATACTCCCAATATATCTTTGTGTCAGGTACAAAATGATTTGGAAATAAATAAAGAGTATTTCTGGTATAATTTTATCAAGGGGCGTCTAATTTGATTGCTTATGAACATGAAATAATCAGGAAGTCTAAAAACAAGTTAATAGTTACATTCACCGGTTCCGTATCTGTTGTAAAGGAAGTGAATTTTAAAATAGAGTTAGTTATTGCATGTATTAAGAGCAAATGTTTCTTGACTATTTTAAAATTGCATAAATAATTTTATGAACAACACACGAATACACCTGTTAGGTGCCTGGTAGATGTGAGGTTGACTAATTTATTAATAATGGGTGTTTGAGAAATGAGCTCAACAAGTTTTGTAACCGCGAACATCAGATGAAGTACGGTGCTGTTATAGCTTGCTTTTTTCTAAGATTTTTTAAATAAAATTTCAAACAATTTATATCTTTGTTATTTTTGAGGATCTCTCTCTCTATAAAATTATGTTGCTCAGAAGTGGCCTCAAGATATACTATGAGGTCTTTAAAATGCACACACGCTAACCACAGTAAGTTACCTAAAGAAATGAACGTTTTGTTAAAAAAGGCCTGTAACAGTTTTTCGTATATCATATCTAAAACCATAGTTTGAGCATTTTCTATAGGATGTATCTGATTAATTTGCTCTTGATGTTAAGAGTACACTGTCACAGCCTTTAAAGTGCACACTGTCATTAATCATTTTCAGCCTAATACTAATACACTTTGGATAAAAGTATTATTTTGTAATATTTTGCAATCAATCAGTTATACATAATTACAAATATACCAATTGTAGAAAATATAGTGTAAGGGGCCCACTCCTACATTTTGTATCAATACGTGAACACTTAAACATATCCCATACAAGTGAAACGAACTAATCTGTCAAGATTTCCTCCTTATGGTAATTGTACGTCTAGCAAATGAAAATGCATTGTTATGAAAATAAATGAAAATTTGGTTTATTTATTCTTCCTTTTAGACACATAATTATAATTAAATGGTTTTTATTTTATGTGGATCAGAGTCTATATGCAATAAACTTACGGTATTCCATGTCGAAAAATTAAATACATTTTTACAAATCTAAATACAATTATACAGATAAATACAAGACTTTATAAAAAAAATTTTTACAACTCTAAATACAAGTGTACAGAGAAATACAAGTCTATACATGCAAAGAAAAAAAGATCAATTAATCATTAAAAGAAATGCTCTTCAATTTCTCGAGTTTATTAGGGTATATGTTTGAACATCTCGTTGATAAAGATGATCACGTGGTATTATCTTGCTGTTCCTGTTTTGGTGGCGCCTTTTTAGAGAAATCCACGAACGTGTATTCTGTTCTCTCTTCGTCTCCGTGTATTATCGGTTTCCCTTTTGTGTCTGAACTTTGGGGCTTTTTTGCAAACTCAACATCTATGTAAACTAAACCATCCTGATTCTGCAAAAAATAAAAGATAATGTTCAATATATTTAAGCTGTGATATTTTAAGAATAACTGCTGATCACAGAAAAATGAAGTGGATTGTTCTGTGGGAAATGCAGAGTCAAAAGGGAAATACAGTAAACATGTCTAATCCGGACACCACTGGTTCCAAAGAAATTGGCCGGATTAGGCAGCATACCGGATTAGACAACATTTTAAACAATTCACTTAAAGAGACAAAGTTTAAAATCGTATTAGGCAAGATTTCGGAATACAGAACAACTGGACTACACAAGTGTCACTGTAACTTGGTTTCAGAAAGGATAAAAACTTCTAGAATATATACCCCCATGATTTTCTTTAGATAAGGAGGAATCTTTGCAGAAACACAAGGCCAAAATCCCTTTTTTCTAATATATTATTGCCAAATAGAAAATCAGGATTGTGTTAATCTCAAGAATTTTATCTCAATTACATAAGGAATGGATCCAGCTGAAGAATAAGGGTCGGAGGGATCTTTTTGAATCAGTGATGCCCTATGGGACTAAATTTTCACGATACCGTAAAATGTACATGTATAATGGGGTGACTACTCTGAATCGATATCTCCTGACATTATGAAATTTTGGAAGTATAACCCTCATATCAAAGTCAACGATTTTCTCCCCGTTGTTGTACCTCACTTTTCCTGCTTGTGGGATTGAGTTTTTACTATGCGTTATCCATTTCCTAAGGAATCCAAACCGACCATTTTATTAGCACTTTAAATCGATCGGTTTGCAAAGAAACTTTTGAGACGTATTGTCTTAATCTCTCTAAACTAAAACTTCTGATACTACTTGCTATTGGCACCATACCGTTGTACGTGAATCGTCGTTCCTGTTAGATGCTTCTGCCTCTTCTTTCTTTCCTTGCAACTCCTTTTCTCCATTCTTTTTCTTTTCTTCTTTCTTTGAATCCGTTTTGTTATGTATATTGGGCTTTTTTATCACTTCTGAATACATGGCTTCGTTGTCATCTAATTAAGAAAAAGAGTATACTTATTGAACATATTTATTTTCTTAATTACTGGTGGAAGCATTTTCCTACAGCAAATATAGTGGTTTAATCTCTCTGCATTTATCAAAACGTTAAAAAGGATAAGGGGTTGCTCTGACTCAAACTTAAGGAAAACTAAATTACATAGAACATGGACTTATTTTTAAACTTTAGATTAAGTATGCTAACACATTCTAGAAATCATTTTTAAGTTTCAAAATAAAAAAAAAACTGGAAAAAACATGATAAATTTAGCATGGTTAGAGAGAGAGAGAGAACCATTTTTATCCTTGATGGCATCACCCTCTGCTTTGTCAACTTGTTGACTGTTCTTCATCAAGACACTCTTGTCAACAGCAGCGTAAACAACTACATCCACTGGAGTATTATCCTGCACTGTGAATATAAAATATTGGAATTGGAAATGTAAAATAAAAACAGACAAATAGATTTTAATATTTTACAACTTTTATAATCAGGCCCAGAGTAGTACTCAACGCTCCATACAATAATATGAACAATGAAATGGCGTTTATTGTATTGCCATGTTGCTGTTCCACAGTTACTGTCCCGAGAACTGATTCCTTAATGAAAAATTGTAACTTTCTGGATAAACCAAGAAACATTAACTATACGACAAAATTGTGGTCCTTTGATGCATGGGTATATGAGGGTAGACAATACTGTATAGGTATAGGAATTAACGTATTCAATATTCAATGATTGGGCATGGCGTGGTTGGTGTAGCCATGAGTTAGTGCTACAGATATCCGCTCCCTGCATTGTTTTATTAATGATTTATTTACGCTTAGCGGTATTCATGAATTGGCGCATCGTTGTTCGCTCCAAAGCCGCTAAAATATGAAGTCAGCTTTTTAAGGACGACGGACCTAATTCGAAATTTCGAGCCACTGCGCAGAAAACCGCGCATATGCCTTGAATCAGATTGACTTAATTATGTATTGCAAAAGATAAAAAATATACATTTTTAATTCTTTTAAAGATATTCAAACGTTTTAATATGGCAAATATTTTGATATATATCCATTTGTTAATTTTATAAATTAATGATTTATTTGGCCAAGGTAACTTCATTGAAAATTTCACCCAAAACGTGCCCTACACCTGTGTTTAACATGCCCCTCTGAAAAATCTAAGCCGATGACCTATTTATTTTTTGGCGTAATTTGCTGGTAAATTGTCTAGTTAACATTGTCCTTTAATATGAATAAAAATTCTATTACAGAATTTTTTTTCAATGATTTCTCTTATACCCTACACTGGCAATTTCCCATTACTTCCAACAGTAATTATCAATTTCCAAAGCCAACTTTTGAGACGCTCCCCATTAAAAATCTACATCGATTACCATATGATTCTTTTTATTGATTTTAACTCACCAAAAGTCACTTTACCTCTTATTAATATTTGAATAAAAAATCTATTGCAGAAATGAATTAGGTCCGTCGTCGTTAAAGTACACATAAAGTATATTCAGATTTTCATTAACGTAGGATGGGCAAAGTTTTGATAAATCTAATTGGGCCTATATGTTTATAACCGGACCCTTATTATGAAGTGTCTTTATTCCTTTATCTGTCTGCTTACATCCACTTAGTCGTTCATCACTGTTACTTTTCTTCGGAGGTGACTTTTTTCTTTTACAATACAACTTCATCGCCACTGTTAGAATCACAACGAGGACAAACACAGCCGCGGAAGCTCCGATCACAATCATCATTGTAGTATCCATGAGCAGGGAAGATGGGGAAGACCGGGCTATCAATAAATTTATCAATCATTAAAATTAGTCAGCTTAGAATGTATGAAGTTTTTTTTTTTTAAATACATACAATACCAAGTTACTACATAACTATAAAGTTTACCAGAGTCAACTTTACTGTACTTTACTACAGTAAATCAGTTCCAGAAAGAACGGGAGCGCTTTTAATTGGCATTCGGCAGGAATCTGGGCGAACTTGAAAAGTGAAAAATTCACACGAAATTTTAGCAATCTTTTGATCATTTGGGTTCCTGAGAAATAGGAAAGGGAAATATTTTCCCGAAATTGTATTTTGATTTGGTAAAAAATAACTTGAAAATAGGCTAGATGATTCATTTGGTACAAATTGGCACATTTTTAACACGTTTTTCTAAAAATTTGCTATCTCTCCATGATTTTCAAACTTTATTTGTATGCATTATAATTCAAAGAAACAAACATTCATTTGTAAAAAAATGGAGAGAAAACCCAGAGACCATCAAAAATGAACTTTTTCCAAAAAAATTCCAATGTATAAATGCGGTGCTTCATTGTCGTTTTAAAAGCCAATTTGTGTGTGTAGCGATGATAGCTCAGTAATATGTGTGACCTGTCCATTGCAATGGAGTCAAAAATTTTTGGTTCGATCCTCGCATGGAGCGTTAATATTTTTTTTAATGCAAACAGACAATTCTTTTGTCAGTTTAATTTTTTTGTACTTATTTATTTTAAAATGGATAAATTCTGGTTCTGTTGCATCGAGAGCGAAAGCAATTCTTCTAACCTACAAATACTTTAATATATACTTGTACATTCTATTGGAATTCCTATGGGTACCAATTGCGCCCCGTTATTAGCAGACCTTTTTTGCATTCATATGAAGCAGAATTACATTCTATTGGAATTCCTATGGGTACCAATTGCGCCCCGTTATTAGCAGACCTTTTTTTGTATTCATATGAAGCAGAACTTGTCCAAAATCTTGTACGTGAAAAGAAGAAAACACTTGCTGTGGCCTTCAACTCCACATTTAGATATATCGACGACGTATTGTCAATTAACAATGGCTATTTTCATTCTTATGTCGATACGATATATCCTGGTGAACTTGAGATAAAAGATACCACAGAGTCTAACACATCTGTTTCATATTTGGATATTTTACTTGAAAAAGACGTTAATGGTAATCTAACAACCAAGCTTTATGATAAACGTGATGACTTTAACTTTTCAATCGTCAACTTCCCTTACTTATGCGGCAATATACCTTCATCACCTGCATACGGGGTATATATATCTCTCAGTTGATTCGATACGCAAGAGCATGCTCTACGTATGTACAATTTCTAAAACGAGGTAAATTATTGACAAATAAGTTGATGAAACAAGAATATCAGCTGTCTCGTTTCAAGTCATCATTTCGTAAGTTCTATGGTCGATACAATGACCTTGTCAGCAAATACAATTTATCATTGAGTCAAATGCTGACTGACGTTTTTCATACTAATTGTTAGGCCATTATTTACACACTGTATTGTCGAAGGATTTTTCCGTTATTTCCCGATCATGACAAGGAGCACACGGCGGGTGTGACCGGTCGGCAGGGGATGCTCACTCCTCCATGGCACCTGATCCCACCTCTGATGTTTGAAGGTCCGTGTTTGCTCTGCTCCTATTTTGTATTGTATAATGGACTTTTGAGCCTGAATACTGTTCGTTATCTCCATATATTTCATTGTACATGTAATTGCATTTAACTATACCCTTATTATCTTGTAGGTGTATATTATTTATGTGAAGCATTACTATCAATGTTAAAGTTTGATTATTAAGATAACCGGACTTAAATATTACAATTTGACATGCTACTTCAAACTGAATATAACATTTTCCTATGTGCTTAGCTTTGTATAAGCCTGTCCAGCTGTGGTCAGCCAACCAAATTGTGGACACTTTAACTATAAATGTTTCGTACACATGATTCCTGCAGATCACATGCCAAACACGCCCATCTTCTTTTCATTGCTCCAATTTCTTTTTTCGATGTAAATCAAAGGATAAAATGTAATTTTTAAAGATGAAGATTGCCAACAGTGATCAATCTCATAAACCAGTAAGCGAAACGAATCGTAATCAGGGCAAAAACACGGAGCCCTGGAAACATCCGAGGTTGGGTTAGGTGCCTAGCAGGAGTAAGCATCCCCCGTGGTCCCTTTGTATTATCAGGTATACGGACTGCTCCGTAGTCAAATTATAAGTATAAAAGCAATAGCCTTACAAATGGTATGAAACGTGTTTTGTTTATTTTAAATTTCAAATTCTTACTTTTCTTTTTGTACAATTTTTTAAGGAATGAATTTAATAGATACACATTTTGGACGGTATAAACTGGATTTGGGCAGTTTACGCTTTATAGACCGCGAAGCGGTTTATAAAAAAGCGTAAACTGTTTCAACCCAGTTTATACCGTATAAATTGGGTAGCTATTAAATTCATTCCTTATTATTTAATTTTCATTCATTTAGTGTAAGAAAAAAAGATGATTGTCCTTGAAAAATGACTTCAATTTGTACAAAATTAGAATGTTACGTCAGGCGGATCAGTACGTTTTTGACGCAAGTCATTGTGACGTAGGCAACCCATTTTATACAATATAAAGTAAATTTTTTATCAAATCAAATACAGCGTTACATCCAGAATTATTTGTATTTCTCCAAAATTTATCTTTATTGATATGTAATTTGGGAGACATTTTCATATCAATATCAACTAATAGTTCCATGTCATTATTTATGTGGTTTGTTAATGACTGTCTACAAAAATGTATCGGGTTTATCAATCTCACAGACGGCGAAGAGGATATACATGTATTTCTGTAGACAGTAAGTAGCAAAACAAATAATTATTTATTTTCTTGAGGCTCATAGCCAGAGAGATATAAACATAAGAAAGGCCTGTAGCAACGTTTATATAAAAGAGAGGGGCAGTCAGAAAAAAAACCCCCATAAACTGCGAAAACTCGGGAGGTTTAGATTTTTTTTTATTGCAATAACATGTTAAGCTTTCCACCATACTTCAACAAAAAAGTGTGTGTGTGTGTGTGGGGGGGGGGTGTTTAAAGTAATAGACTTTTATTAAAACAGTGGGAGTCCCCCTCCCGACCAGCGTAGTACAACAGGCTTGCAAGAAGTGATGATTAAGATGATTCAAAATAACATACATGTATTTTAATTAAGAATTTAAATGTCCCAACATATCGACTATCGAAATTATAATGTCTATCCAATTTCACACAGTCAAACTCTTCAAAATTATCAATCTTACCTTTTACCGTCATGTATTCTTGATAAATCTCTGCTGCACCTTTATTTACTTTAAATTATATGTTCTGTTCAGATTCTAATTTAAAACGTTTTTCCTCTCTTATTCGACGCTAGTATCACTTCTGCAATCACAACAAATCTGAAGTCATTTCTTCAAAAAGGTCGCTACTCTAATTTCAAAAGGAAAACATTATAGAAAGTGGTTTCCGTAATAAATGATTTCACATATCGAAATATAAACGCAACGCGTCGGCCATATTGCCAGATATTAATTCTGACCTGCCGGGCATAAAAAATATAGCCGACAGTCACCTTTCACGTTTAAGCTAAATTTCAATTCAAAGGAAAATAATGAAGTTTTACAGTAAATTTAAGTCCCAGAGTAAAGTTTCAAAGTAAGTCAATGTTTCATAGAGTTAAATCGATGTCTGGTAGCAATATTATGTTAATAAAGAACAAAGCACGATTTCAATAGAAATCTGATCTTGTATTTTACTTAAATATATGAATAAATAAAGTGATATGAGAAATTACAACTCATGCTTTCTGAATTGTTGAAATTCCATGCAGTAAGATCATACAAACAGTTTTGCTCACATGACCTACTAAATTCTAAATGTGACGTTATGAACTTTTGCATTTTCCCGCATTTTCTTAAAAAGTTACAGAAGATATCAATTTTCAGTGGAAATTTCAGCTAATATAGACCTCATGCATAGCCCACAAAGATTTTGGGAAATGTGATTTTTCAAAGAATTTTAATCATATCCGAAAATTAAAGTGGGTGTGGCTGTGGAACGACTGTGGATACTTTTTTAAAAAGGAGAATAACCCTTGAAAAGGGTCCTTTTGAGGCCTATTCTGATTAAAACTTAGAAATGTATCACATTAATGGTGTCTTATTTCCAGAACAGTCCTCCTTCATGCCGTATTTTTTCATGATTTATCAGAGTCATGTGCGCTACTCATATTTAAGCCAGTTTCAAAACTATTTGAAAAAATGTATAGGCCATAATAAAGCTAAAAACCGTACCTACTACTTAAGGGATGTTAAATAACTATTGGCAAAGAACGTCAGCTAAAACTTTAACTTAGCATTCAGAATGAAGCTGCACAAAATTATGTTTCTTCAGTAAAGCATGCTTATATTGACATTTTATGGGATACCATGATTTCATTTCAAAATCTTAATTTCCTTATATTCATGTGATAAGCGAATTTTCACCATTACCAAGACTGTCAATTATTGGGAGAAGGTTTTGCATAATGAAAGTAAAAGTTACTGTACCTTGTACTATGAACTGAACTTCAACAGGGCTTAAAGAACAATTGATTCTATTACAGCTCTCCAACTGGTACAGATACTCTTGTCCTGGAACTAAAGGTCCTAGGTCATAATATCCCATATTCATTTCACCAGGGTCTGTCAGATTTTGAACAAATGTCCAGCTGGATCCCTTTTTCTTTGACAAGATAAAAATTTGTTCTGGCCCTCCATTAAAGTTTGATACCCAAGTAAGACTGACATATCCACTAGCGTTAGAGTTCCAGGTAAAGTTCAAAGGCGGCTTAGGTAAATCTTGAAAAATAAAACTAAATTTTAATATTAAACAAATTCTTGGAACTAGAGGTACTGTGAGTAAGGAGCTCACAAAATGATACCCCAGTTCCGATGTCAGTATAAAGGCTAAATTAATATTTTGCTACGGGAAAGGCCATATATGTGTCCGATCAAAACATAAAATAGGATAAAAGGTGGGTACCTCCAATGTTATAGAAAGAATAGCAGTGTCCATGTTTTGATATGGAAAACCCCAAATATGTGTCACCTCAAAATGCCAATTAGAAGGTGCATAATGGAACTATATAATAAAGGGTTCTATGAACGTCTCATCAAATTTTATTCAGTAATGTAGGAGGGGTTGCGGAAGCTTAGAAATGTTAATGTAATAATATATATATATATATATATATAATATTAAATTATATTATATTATATTATATTATATTGGAAGTCAAATCGGTCAATATTTGATAATCGGTTACTCGGATGATTTTCCGATGGAGAACTCTGGTACTCGGTAAAAATGTAAAATAATATGTATTTAATTTTATTGACAATAGTTTGGCCCCGTTTAACACCATAGGTGTTTTTTTTATGTTTATGATGCATGTATTAAATTTATTTATCAAATAAACATAAGAAACATCAGTCAACACACCAATAATTACAAATGGTTTAATGATTGATTGTATATTTTTTACGTCTCATTCGAGAATTTATCACTCATATAGAGACGTCGCCATGTATACCGGTTAAGGGCTTCAAATTTTGACCTTTACTCGGCTCTCAGGGCCATTGAGCAGTGAGGGATCTTTATCGTGCCAACGCCTGCCGTGACACTGGGCCTCGGTTTTTAAGGTCTCATCCGAAGGACCCGCAACTTTCACTTCAAAGTGCCGAGCGCATGGCGAAGGTACAGTTGCTACCCATTTGTTATCGACTTAGGTCAGTCGCGGCCGAGATTCGAACTCACGACCTCCCGATCACGAAGAGAGCGCTCTACCGACTGAGCTACCGTGAACGGTACAAATGGTTTAAAATTCTCGTTTAGGAAGACGATTTTATCAGCGCAAGAGGAGGACAATCTGTTACACAGCTTTGTAGACTAGTGAAAGAGACTATCTTTAAAGGAACAGACGTTGTCGGGATCGCTAGGCGTATATTATAATTTAAAATGTTGGTTGTTTTCCCTATATACGATAAATTCATTTCGCACAGCCTACGTTTTACGTATTTTGAATTCTCAGTTATTTTAAAATATTTCTTCATTTTTGAATTTGAAAGAAGCGTTTCTATGTGTGTTCGATTTCGCCTCAATCAAAATGCTGTCATAAGACGGTATAAATACCCGCACGAAGGTGTTTGTCTCTAAATGCACTCACCTTCATATTTAAGTAACAATTGAAGAATTCACAATGGTTCTATAATTTACAAAAAAGTCTGTTAAAAGCCCCAGTCGCCTCCAAGGTTAAAAGCTAAATTCCAAAACCTTAATGGACATCTACAGGATATGATTGGGCTACTTTGATAAATGTTTTTTTTTTAATCATTTTTGACCTTAATGTACAGGGCATCGTCAATCACCGTCTAAAATATAGTTTGCAACTGCGTAAAAGAGTTTAGGGAACCAGATTTTTTGTAAATTTAGATTTTTGTCTTTTCCCGACACCCAATCACCGGCTTAGGTGAAAATTTAAATTCTGAAACCCATTTGCTACAGGACGCTCCCAATCAAATTTCAAAGAATAATTAGGCGAAGAATCTAGAGGAGTTCTGTGAACCATGTTTTTGTACAAAATTGAGAATTTTTAACCGCAATCGAGTCGTGTGATAATTGAAATTCTAAACTACAGGACACTCCCAATCATGTCCCATAATATGAATATGCTACTGCGAGAAATGTAAAAGGAGTTCATAAGCCAGGTTTTTGTAGAAAAAAACAACGTTTTTGACTCTAACTTGGCTCCTAGGGTAAAAATGATAATTCCAAAACCTTATCTACAAGACATTTCCAGTCATATTCAAAAAGATGAGTTGGGTACTTCAACAAGAGGCCCAAGGGCCTTAACGGTCACCTGAGTATAATACAACAATTTAGAAGTTAAATACACTGGTAGATGAAACTTTTTTGCCCTAAAGCAAGAGAGGTAGGAAGATCAGGATCAACAAAATAATTAGTCTAGTATTCCGTATCAACTCATAAATTAAGTTCTAATCTGTCCCCCACTTAACACTATCACCATGCAGACTATTAACAAACTATTAGTGCTTCTATACTTTTTTTAAACCCATATTAAGACCTCTAGCATTGACCTCTCTTATGGTCTTTGAAGAACTTTTAATAAGATAAGTTATTTTTGTCTCATTTTTATTTATCTATTACTTACAGGTCTACCTGATTATTAAAACTAAGAAAGTACTTTTTGAATTATATGATAAACATTCTTGCATAATTATCTTATTCTATTAACCTTTCAAATACATTATTAACAGTGATTAATTATCAAAGGTGAATGGAAAAGGGGAATAACTCCTCTCAGTAGAATACAAATAGAGCCTTGCCCAGGACCAGAATGCTTAGACAAATGGTCTAGATGTTCAAAAATCTGGTAGAAATATGCTTAATTATACCATTTAAACTTTTACTCAGTTTTCTTCCAATATGCCCAGAAGCAGAGAAGCCAATGCATTTTCACTACTACAGATTCAACAAAGCCTTACCCTAACACCAGAACCCAAGACCAAGGGTCAAGAAATTTACAAATTTGGAAGAGTTACCCTCATCATCATAACTATGGACTTCAAAGAATTAACACTTTTCCACTATATTATCAAAAGCCCCCCCCCCCCCCCTCGTTATGCCAGAACCCCTGACCACAAAATTCTGTTCGAAGCTCCCATTTTCATCATAGCTAAGCAATTTATTTATCAGCTCAACACTAAGGAGCAGACAGGATTAATTAATGATTAATTAATAGAATTAATGCTTTTTCACTATATAATCAATAGAGCCCCCCCCCCCTTCCTCAAGAACCCCAAAAACTGAGGCCATGTATTTAAAAATCATGGAAGAGGCATCTTTGCCTATCATAATCATGCACTTAGTTTGTTTAAATAATCTCCAGTAGAAGAGAAGAAGATTTTCAAAGAATTAATGCACTTTCACAATATGATCTATATAGCCCAACCCAGGGGCCAGAACCCCTGACCCTGGGGCCATGAATTTCATAATTTTGGAAGAGGCACTCTTGCTCATTATAACTATATACTTAGTTACTTTATTTAATACCCAGGAGCAGAGAAGAAGATTTTCAAAGAATTAATGCATTTTCACTATATAATCAATAGAGCCCCGCCCTAACACCAGAACCCCTGACCCTGGGGCCATGAATTTCACAATTTTGGTAGAGGGCTCAATGCTTATTACAATGATGCCAACAGTTTGACTGCTTGATGTCCTGGAGTAAAGAAGAAGATTTTTAAAGATTGCAATATTTTTGGTGGTTTTAGCCCCACCCCTCAGGCCCCCCCCGGGGGGGGGGGGGCAGGGACCATGAAATTCACAATTTTTGTTCCCCTTTACCCATAGATGCTATATGCCAAATTTTGGTTTCAGAGAAGAAGCTAAAAATGTTCAAATGTTAACACACGACGCACGAAGCACGCCGACGGACGAGAACGGATAGCAATAGGTCACCTGAGTGACTCAGGTGACCTAAAAATGTAAGATAAGTTCAAGGAACCAGGATTTTGTAGAAAAAAAAAGTGACCCCAATTGCCCCCCAGGGCAAAAATCGAAATTCAGAAACCTTATTGCACATTTACAGGACACTCTCAAGCATATTCCAAAATATGAATGGTGTGCTGCAAAAATGTACGAGGAGTTCAGGGAACCAGATTTTTGTGAAAAAAAAAAAATGTTTTTTTGACCCAAATTTGGCCCCAGGGTAAAAAGTAAAATTTTAAAAATACTTCCGCATACCTTCAAGGCACCATCAATCATATTCCGAAAAAGAGTTGGCTACTGCATAAAATCTAAGAGTACTTTGGGGAAGAAGATAGTATGACTGACGGATGGACAGACATACAGACGGATCAGTATAACACCAGTATACCCATACTTTCTTTAATTAGGAAATGCAGTATCATAATTTAAAGATAATAGATGAAATATGTGTAGATAACGAACAGTATTCGAGCTCAAAAGTCCATTAAACATTACAAAATAGGAGCAGAGCATACACGGACCTCTAAGACATCAGAGGTGCGATCAGGTGCTATGGAGGAGTGAACATCCCCTGCCGACCTGTCACACCCGCCGTGTGCTCCTTGAAATAACGGGAAAATCCGTTGACAATTCAATGTGTAAATAATGGCCTAGCAATTAGTATGAAAAAAGTCAGTCAGCATTTGACTTAATGATAGACCATAATAGACCATATTTAAACGACATCCATTGAAAACAAATCATAAGGCTATCCGAAAATTTGACACAGTGGGGGTATCAGGTGGTTGGTCACAGGTGATTACTGGTATTTACTGGTGTACGGGATGCTATTGAAATGGACAATGTATATATATTTAAGGTAGTACAAAACACCCATTAAATCTGTTTTAAGTAATTTCTTTAAAAAATACTTCAGAAAAAAGAATAATATAAAAGAATATATAAAAGAATAATGTCAATAATCAATGATTTTTGTAAGAAAAATAATAAGCTGTGGCAAGTGTTCGTCATTTTTTCTTTCAAAATTAGAGATATCCTATATATTGGTCACTTGGGAGCTACATTTTACAATGTGATCATGCTGTCTAAATGCGATATAATCTGTTATTAAATGCAGTGTAACTTTTGATCCATAAATAAATGAGGGTTGACATTTGGACATATATATATATATATATATATATATATATATATATATATATATATATATATATATATATATATATATATATATATATATATATATATATAAGGAGTCCCCATTCTTTATGTACAATAAAGGTCAAGGTCATATTAAGAGGTCAAAGGTCCAATATTGTGACGTCATCTACTGAATCTTTCACTTTTTTGCCATTGAAATTTTTTTTAATCGCCAAAATATCTGTAACCATTGGTTTAATTTTCCGTATATTGACACATTTTAATCTGTGATCCATTTCAATCAATCTTGATTTTTTGTAAAAATTGAATTATATATTTTCTCTAAAGAGAACATAAAGTGTAGCATATTTACATGTGAATTTTCAATTCCAGGGCTACGTATGTCCTAGTTTTACATCATATTTTTCTCAAATTTACCAGTATCAATATCTTTTACTCAATTTTAGTAACAAAAAGGTTGCCTTTATAAAAGGAATCACAAAGTTTGCAATAGATCAACTGATAATTTTTAAATAAGGCATATTCTCAAGTCGAATGTATGATTTCCCAATCTTCTTAGAGGGGTCTGATAGCTAGGCCATATTTCAAACTATGTGGGCAAAAAGTATGCGGTTGGATTTCTTTCATTTACTTATAAAGAGAGATTTTATATCCTAAACCAAAATATCAAAGTTTCAAAATAATTGAATTGTAGGAATATTTTGGCCTATTCATTTTTTTACTACCTTAAGCTTTATTGTTTGATAAATATATCTATACATCCGAGTAACCGAGTTTCGATTTTAGTATTCGTTACTCTGACATTTGATGGATTACCCGGTTTTTGGTTACTCGTTGATATCCTTTATATATATATATATATATATATATATATATATATATATATATATATATATATAGAGAGAGAGAGAGAGAGAGAGAGAGAGAGAGAGAGAGAGAGAGAGATCTTTTCAGTCAAGCTACCAAACTTTAATTAAGTATGGAAGATATATCTAAATTTAAGTATGTAAATCCAACCTTCGGCGTTGATTGCTATATTGACGATGACTGTTCCATTGTAAGTAACTGTGTAGTTTCCAAAACATCTCTGATCAGGAATAGGAATGGTACTGTTGATCCAGTGTTTGTAGATAACGTTATCACTTTTTGATACTGTATTTGTAATATTCAGATATCCAGGTCCCTGCCATGATATTCTTGAATGAAATGAGGACGGAAGAGGATTTGCAAGCACAGGCACTGTCACAAAAACCTTGACATTTTTTCCACTCATTGACCCATAGTTGGTCTTGAATGGCACAGACGTATCAAGTTGAGGGTCACCTAAAACATAATGTTATGTATAAAACAAGCTCACTGCCAGAAATCGTATAGGTACACTTTGAACAAATTTGTAATTTATAGGTATAAGCAGAATGCATGTTCATATATTCGAATATCTTCGATATTTATACGAGAAAGGAAAGAATAATAAAATAGAGATCTAGTTTAATCTACCTCGTAACATAGGACATTTTCATACATTTAATTCTGTAACAAAATACGCATGCATATCAAAAATAAAGCTTAATTTTACAGTGAAATGGCCGGACAAGCCATCTAACATTAAAGGTAGAGATATACATCACACATCTGCACATCACTTTTAAAATGAATTTTATTTGAATAACTAAAGCAAAAAGGATTCCATTTATAACCTAAAAATTACAATTATTGCTGAATATATAGCAAAAAATGAACATCGTTTACTTCTTAATCTTTCACAGACACTTGAAGAACTTACAGATGACATTCACAGTAAAATCCTTTATTTTCCTTTCAAATTGAGTTGAATTTCCTGTACATCTGTAGGTGCCCGTGTCAGAACATTGGACTTTTGTTATTGTGTAGTCCAGGCAGTTGCTATCTTCTGTATCAAAGACTTGACCATTTGAAACTTTGCTGAGAATGATTGTAGGGTTTGGATTTCCATCCACATGACAAGAAATAGGCAGATTTTCACCTTTTCTGATGTCTGATCGATTTTGACTGATGCCATTCAGAATTATTTTCGGTTTCGATAAATCTACAAAAAATTATGTTCTTCAAAAGGAGAAATAGTTGAATACAAATCGTTACGTGCATGGAACGTGTTTACTTAATTTTTGCCATATCGTGATTTGCGAATTAATCGCTTTTATGAAAAAGATTTATTTCATAGTGATACTATTTACACTAACACGCCATGGT